AAAAGACCTGGTGACCTCTAATTTCCTGCTTCTAATCCAGACAGAGGCTGTTGTGCTCGGGCCCTAAAACTCTTAGAAACTAGCATCATCGTGGCCTCCAGTGAAGCTGTGAGGAGCCATCTTTGAGCAGAATATATCATTCAGTGTGCACAAACAACCACGTAGGTCTGTGAACTAAGCTGAGAGTGATTCTAGCTGCACGATTGTGAGTCCAGTGTTATCAGACAGGTGCCATGAAAAGCTCAAGCTCCAGTTAACCTGAAACGCTGCAGCACGAGTACCAACAGGAAGTAGAAAGAGAGCATATCTGTCCATATTAGCTCCCTCTTCACTGACTCCCTGTTAAATCCAAGATTTAAAGTCCTCCTTCTGACAGACGAGCCGAATAATCAGCCTCTGTCGTCTCTTAAAAAGCTTGTAGTACAAAGTTTATACTGATAGAGCATCCCTCCTCAGACTGCAGCCTATTTGTTGTTGCTAGGTAGAATAGGAGGCAGTGGCCTTCAGCTGTCTCTCAGTGGCCCATCTCTGTGGACCAGCTCCCAGGTTGGATTCACGAGACTCCCCATTTAGTTTTCGTGTTTTTTCTCTAAAGCTTATTGTTAGAACTGGATCAGGTGTCTCTGAGCCGTATCCCAGTAACACTGCAGTAGGAGGGCTGCTGGGAGACTTCATCATCTATCACCATGTGTTCTCTTTGAAAGCTACATATTTCTTATATAAGATGACGTAATCAGGCACTGTTAGCATCTCTTGTTTGAACACTTATTAATAGATGTACATGACAGCACACTGCCACAGTTACTAAAATAGTTTAGCAAAGTGCATTTGGAACAACAATGTACACGTCATGTAAGTTCAATATAAAGTTTATCCAGACTGATCACATGTCTCTGAGTGAGGAGGAGCACAATCACTCATTACATCATTTATTCCCTGTTCACAACCAAGTTTAATCATGATTCAAGTACAGATTTGAAGCTTTAACAAAGTATTGCTTTCATTTCTCAGAAATATTTTAATGCTCTCACCACATTTATTGGACCAGTTCATTTTAATATAAAGATTGTTTTTAATACCTTGATGAAAATCTTTGCAGATGATGCCCAGGTCTAAAACTGTATTCCCAGTATTCCCAGTGTGCCTCCTTAGTGTCATGGTAACACGTTGGCTCAGGAAGTGACAAAGTCACTTTTTAAAGGCAAATAAAAGCTTTAAAAATAAAAGCTGCATATGAAAAAAATGGAGCTTCCTGCTGTGGTGACCCCAGAGTGACTAAAGCATTTCTATAAACTAACACAAGAATAACGAAAACATATCAAATGAAAGTAACTGCCATAAATTCATGTACTTACACAGAAAAGTCAAGCTCTGCCCTCAAAGCCCGACTGTGATGACCTAGGGGCTCCACCACAGCAATCACAGGCTGCCACTGTGCCGCTGAGTGCTCTCCCAAAAAGCCCGGCGGCCCGTCGGGCTCGTGCAGTCTGAGTGTTGCACAGCAAAGCCTCCGTGGTGTCATTTCTAAAGCATCGTGCTCATGCATTGTCTGGCTGTATTGCTAGTGCAGACCTAGCATTACAGCACAGCCTGTATTGTTTGCTGTATAGGCAACATCCTGTAGAAACCGCTGGCACTGTTTGGTTTCAGACTTTCAAACCATTCACAGCCATGAAACAGGACTGAGCTTATTTTCAGCATCACCTAAAATATAATGAAGGCTTTCCTTATGCTGTTGGAACGTCTTCTTCATGTTGGTGACACGTTTGAAAGTGTTCAGATTTAAAGTGCAGTGGTGTGTGTGTGTGTGTGTGTGTGTGTGTGTGTGTGTGGTGTGTGTGTGTGTGTGCACTGTCACGCTGCTCTGACTGGTCAGTGACTCTGTTCTACATATTGTAGTAAATAAGCTGTTGATAAGATGAACAGGTGCTGACTTACCTGTTCCTGTTTTTGGGAGCCAGTAAACAGGCTGCTGGTAGCAGGTGGACAGTACAGCCTGGCTTATCGTTATGGTAACAGCAGGTGGGTGGGACTGGGTGTGTTTGGGGAGGGGCTTGGGTTACTGTGTTAGTATATTAATAGTATTCAAAAACAATATGTGTTTACTGATGCTGCTCATCCCCCATTGTTTAGTATATGTAATAAATAATTGTTATTATTATCAATATTATTGTCAGGTTAAGTGAAATTCATTCAGTCCAACTCAAAGAGAATTTCTATTTGTGCAAAATATTCCGTTTGCATAACATCAAAAGCATAAATTCTTATTAAAATATATAAGAAAACCAAAGTGTTGTTTAGTTAGTGGGTGGATGGCTGAAGGGTAATCTTGGTTTCCTTTGTTTGGGACAAACATTTGGGAATATTTGTTTGAGAGGAAGAACTTTATATTATATATTAATTATATATTTATTATATATATATATTAATATATTAAATAAATATATTATTATTATTATATATTAATATATTATATATATTATATATATATATTATATATTATATATATATATATTATATATAATATATAATATATATATAATTATAATATATATAATTTATATATAATAATATTATATATATTATATATATATATATTATATATTATATATAAATTTATATATTATAATATATTATTATATATTTATAACACACGATAACTTTAAATGAATGTTGTGTTTTTAATTCCGCTCCGGACTCGTGAATCTCAACCCAGCAGCAGCGGTAACGTTTGCACGTCCTCGCCCGTTAATGCGGCAGGTAAATAATCAGCTAACAGTGCATATTATGTTAGCGCGATCTGCCTTATTACAAACCTGCCATCACTGTGCATTTAGTGACCATGATGAGAGAGACAGAGTCTGGCTCAGATGCTGGCAGTTCTCGCTGCAGTCTGCCGGTAGCGTCTCCTTTCAGGCCAGGATAGACGAATGTCACCGAGCAGTGACTCAGTTTGTGGTCAAAGGCTGGCACCGATTTTCGGTAAGTGAATGTGTTTAATTGTAGGCAGGGACATTACTGGATATTCTTGTGTAATTGCTACAGAATAATTTATGTTATACTTTGTTATTGCTACAGAAGAATATTTATTTTATTATTTTACATTTACATTTTTCTTTCCCGGGGACCCTGTGACACCCCATTGAAGAGCCATAAGCTGTGGATCTCTTAAGATCTCACTGTTGGGTTTGTAAGGCCATGTTACTCCTAAATTTCTATCTTGTTCAAAGAGAAGATATAAAACAAAGTTCTGAGCTAATCGACCTCAGTGTTCTCCTTTTTTAAACAGAATCGATAAAGAATCGAAAATGGAACCGGAATCGTGAAAATCGTATCAATACCCATCCCTATTTGTCGGTACTGCGCAAAGTGGCCAACAATCCAGCAGCAGCAACCGATTGGCTGTTGGCGGTTAGCTCCACCCTGTCGTCCAGCCAGCGCCTGTCCTCTCTCTTGTCCTGATTGTGACTTATCTCATCATCATGGGTCAGGAAAACATCTGCCAGCTGGCTTTGAAAGCAAGCCAGGCTGTCGCTGCTGCCGACCCTGCCAGGTAGATAACCCACACAACTGTTCTCTTAAATCTGTGGACTGAATATAAAGTAATGCATGTTGTTCCCTCTGACATGTAGATATGTTGTATGTGAGGCAGCTAGCTTGTGTTTGTCTTTCTAAGAGCAGTAAACACATGTTGATAACCTGGTGTTTTGGCACCAACACATGACTTTGAAATGGTTCAGATCAGCAGGAAGATAAAAGCTGTCACTGCTGTGTGATTGCTGCTGATCTGCTGCCGTATAAAGGGAGAGGTTAGGGAGTGCTCTAAGGGGACAGACCTCTCTCTGGACTTGTGTTGGAGTCACTAGCTGCAGATGAAGTGTGAAGTTTATCCCTCATTACTCAAGCGTGCACCGGGCCCCAGAGGATTCACCTTCTGCTCTAATTGCTCCCAGAGTGCTGCACACACTGGTGTTTGGATGCACTGGTTGAAGGTTGTTGGCATATTTGAGTCCTCTGGAGATCTCTGCTCGCTCGTACTTGTCATGTTAAACGTGCAGCAGCAGGTCTTTGTTACAGGAAAAGCCAGAAGCTAACCACTATGAAACCTTAATGATGATTTACTGCAGTGATGTTGATTCAAAGTGATGTTTTTGGCTCGACAGCATTAAACGTGTGCACGTACAGGTCAGTGATGCAGCCTCTGTACGGTCTGACAAAGTGCATTTAATGTTTGGTTGGTGTGTTTGCTGATGTGGGTGTTTCCCTCTGCAGGTCCCGCCCTCGTGCTGCTTCTTTTGTTCAAACTGACCAAAGAAAAGAATCCCGTCCTGGCTCACGCTGTTCTCACAAGCCTGCCAAACCTCGGCACTCATAAGGTACGCAGCACGACTAAGAAGAACCTGTACTGACTGTGAGCGTCTGGAGACGGGGCTGGAACATCAGCAGCACCTTTCTACTTCATCTGAGCGCTCACAGTGTGTTTTAGTCCATCATACACACATGTGAGCTTTTATCTGTGGGGTCATCCAGGTCATGTAGTCTGAGGAGCTTTTCTTCATCCAGGAGGCTCCTAGAGTTTAAAAACCAGGGACCCGCGTGTCCCAAATACCAGCCTGTGAGCACAATCCACCAATAACAGCGAATAACTGAAATGTTCCCCTCTCGATGTTTAGCACTTTGACAAAGGAGCAAAGAGAAATTCCCACGTCTTCCACACAGTTTTCTCTGTGTGAACACAGACAGTGTTTCTTGTACCCAGTTTGTAGGAGCTGGGATTGGACTCCACCACAGCAGCCTCTGTGTGGGATAGATGCAGTGCTCTGTAGTATAAAGCACTCTGTCAGTGAGCTGGACTCTCCAAACCAGCAGTCATCGTCTAACATCTGCCTTCTTCAGCTGTAACCGTGTGTTTCTCTTGTAAACTTGGCTCTGATCATATGTGCTGTAATATTCCAGCTGTGCTTCCCGATCGTGCTGCACAGTCTGCACATGCTGGCCGGCCCCCAAGCTGAGAGCAGTGGGACTGCGCCTCATGACCGCTCTGTGGAAAAAACAGGTTTAATAATAACGCATTACTATAAATGTCATATTCATGTGTTCAAAGCTTCTGTTTGTCTTTGATTGTGTGCTGCTTTGGTCATGTCTGTAAGGACCGGGTCTACCCAGAGCTGCAGCGTCTAATGAGCCAGCAGGACAGCAGGGTGGTGCTGGGGAGGGACGCCCAGTGGGAGCAGATCCTGGCCAGGGCCGCCTGTGTCAGGGACATCTGCAGAGAGAGGTGGGTCCTCCCATACTTACAGAAACAGTGGGCACTTCCTACATTCACTGGTTCATTCATTCAGTGGACTTTGCATGCACAGTGCAGACAGTGTGAGCTTCCAACACCAGGATTCTTCATCTTCCCTTCTAATGAGTAATAATCACTGACTGGACTCTTCATAGATGTTTCTGCTCAGCAAGCTGATGAAAGTTCAAAAAATAGAAATATTTGTTTTTTCAGTCACATCAACTTTGCTTGTTAAGATAAATGAATGCACTTTGTAGCTTTGCAGTGAATGAAGCCTCAGCTCGACGCTCCACTGAGTCCCTGTTTCTCCAAAAATCAGCAGGAGTCCAGTTTTAAATGTTTCCGTACAAATGTCCAGAGCAGCTACACGTGCCTGAATCCAGAAGGATCAAAGTCTTACAAAGTTCAGTTCAAACAGAGAGACTGAGAGGCAGCTAACTTCCTGTCTCTGCCAGACTATCAAAATAAAAGCATACATTTGAAGCAAAAGAAATCCAACTATGTCAGTCTGTAAGCACTGCTTCCCATATAATACAACTCTAAGCAAGTGAGCCATAACTTTATAGTTTTAACCTTTAACCCAAAAACTATGTTGATCATATAAACTCCACAAACTGCATCCAGGCTCCTGCACACGTCCTTTACATGTTAGCTGTTAGCTAATGCTTGTCAGTTTTTGTGAACTGGCCTTTATGTGTGTTGATGAAATAAAACGATGATTTTATTTGATTATTTCCTTTGTTCTAACCAGCTGGTGCACACTGTCCATCATCCCGGGGCCTGTTACGCCTGCTAACATGTACATGCAGCTTTTTTAGCAGCATTAGTGAAAACCTGGGAAACCCTCTGGATGGATGCTACAGTACAAATTTAGCAAATCATTGAGCTGTTTGTTTTCACAAATGCTTACGTTTGCTTTTATTGTAAAACATTTGCAGCCATAAGAGTTTGCAATGATAAGAAGCTGTGTTTGGCATTTACTTACTTACACGTGTCCTGGCACTTTTAATGCTTTTTTCTTAAATAAAAATGGTAACAAAATTAGAAGAAACACATTTCCCACTTTGTTCACGCTGATGTGTGTGTTAACCAGGCCTTACCAGCATGCAGGGGACATGGTGGCTAAACCTCCTTAGGAAACTCAACTCCTTTGGAGTCAGCACACCCATCATGATGACTTTTTACTACGCCTTCCTGGAAAGCATCATGACCTTCTCCATCACCTGCTGGTCCCACTCCCTCAGCCTTCATACAGGAACAGACTGCAGCATCAGTGTGCTCTAAAATCATTGGCCTGCCTGTCAGAACTCTGGCAGGTTTTCATCAACAGGCCCTTAGACAGGCAGCCAAAATCATCAACGACCCCTCTCACATTCTTCACCCTGCATTTCAATGGCTCCCCTCTGGGCGACGCCTCCGCTGCATTTCCTGCAGGACTGAGAGGAGGAGGAGCGCCACCTTTGTCCCCAAAGCAGCTCTGCTTTTTAACTCCAGCTGATAAGAACATTTCCCACAGAAACATAAACTACACTCTTATACTACCAACACTTTACTCACTTTTAGTCACTTACAGTCAGTGTTGGGAAGGTTACTTTTAAAATGTATTCCATTACAGAATACAGAATACATGCCCCAAAATGTATTCTGTAACGTATTCCGTTACGTTACTCAATGACAGTAACGTATTCTGAATACTTTGGATTACTTAATATATTATCGTGCTTTTTACAACAACGTGAATGTACTATTGCTGTGTGATTTATTACTATTACTGAAGGTCCGCGACATGTAGTAAAGGACCTCTGACTAATACGGCGGGTCCCTGTCAGCTCGTAGCCGAAAAATAGCTTTACTTGTTGTGTGGGTCAACTTTTCTTGCGAGAGACAGAGAGAGGCGTTGAAAGGCTGCTCCAACGGAACTTATTGTTTTCGGAGGAAAACGAACACAGTGTACAGTCGAGTCTTAATAGCTTACTTACTGGCTCGTCAGGCTCTTCTTGGCTGCAGTGGTTATTATTATATTTACATGCTTCCAGCTCCCGTTTTTCCTCGACAGCAGCTCGTACCTTTCCACTCCCCTTTTTCTCCCTCCTCGCGCTCACAGACACATAACGTGTATGGCAGTCCATTCTCCCTGCAGCACGGACTACACTGCCCATGATGCATTCTTTAGAGCTATGCTTGTAGCATTCTGCCTGTGTTAGCACACAACAACAACGAAAAGGCGCTCTCTCACCCAGGAAACACACAGTCGCAGAGAGAGAGAGCGTCACCCTGTAACCATGGCAACCGTAACGCTGCCGCCTGGAACAACAGAACGTAGCTGTCAAACAAAACCCAAACAGTCCTGACCCGCGACAAATGAAACAGGAAAGTACCGCAGTGTAATCCATTTATTTCAACAAAGTAACTGTATTCTGAATACCACCTTTTTAAACGGTAACTGTAACGGAATACAGTTACTCATATTTTGTATTTTAAATACGTAACGGCGGTACATGTATTCCGTTACTCCCCAACACTGCTTACAGTTATTTATTCACCTTCAGTCACTTTAATTTTAAAACTGTGTAATTTTAAAACTGTATATTCTGTGTATTTATTATCTCACTTTTATTGTGCTTATCTTCAACGTCATGCTGCTCTGTTGTATGTTAATTGGCCCTTGGGGATAAATAAAGTCTCTCTGATTCTGGTCTTGTTTTTTTATATATTGGTAGTTTGATAGGTTTCGTATTTGTTTTCTTTTACATCATATTAAAATGTATAAATATATAGATTTAAATATATTTGTGTATTCATGTTGGATTGTGTTTGGTTTTCTTTTATTTATTTCTGCAGTGGTTGTTGTGTAATACTATTTAGATTGTCTTTTTTCCATTATTGTAATTGTGTATAAAGTTTGATTTGAATGAAAGTTGCACTCAAATGCTTTCAGTGTTGCTGTGTTGAGTGTTTTCATGTTTAATGTTTGTATGGAAGACACAGAAAGACATTCGGCTAAAGAAATCTGTGCTAGAGTGACTTTAAAAAAATAAATAAACAGAATGTAAATAATGATGTTTAGTGTTTGAGATGGAAGCTGTTTCTACAGGATCCTGATGGACACTCAAAGGTTTATAAAATGTTCTCATTAGTTGTTTACAGCAGAATATCAACCGATGTGAACCAAAACAACAAAAGTGTGTGAGACTACAAATTCTAGAATCAGAACTGCTGATTTCATTACTCTGAACTTTTAAAGGCAGATTTTGTATCTGAGAGCAGGGACACTTGCTGTGTTCAGTGTGACTCGTCTCTGCAGAAGGTCAGGGCTTGATAGTTGCAGTTGGGCTGACTTACTGGGCAGGTGGATCCTGAGTGTCTGTGGAGTCAGGGTTCATTAATGGTCCTGGTTGCTACTGGAATAAAGAAACAAAAGGAGGGTGTGTTGTTCAGGAAGTACAGACTGTAGCTCAGCAGGTAGAATTACTAACTGGAAGGTTGGAGGTTTGATCCCTGGCTGCTCCAGTCTGCACGCCACGGTATCCTTGGGCAAGATGTGGAACCCCGACTTGCTCTCCGATGCATCCATCATAGTGTCATTGTTAGAAAAAGAAGTGCTTGTGTGAATGAAGCACGCTGTATAAAATGCTTTGACTGCTCATACAGAAAAGCAGGTCATAAGAACTGGTTCATTTTCCAGATAATTCCACTATTAAGACAACAGACATTTGGGAGGCTTTCTCTGAGAGTAACACTGAAAGTCTTGCTGCTCCTCCACAAAATGAACTTCAGATTAAAGACACAGCTCAGCTAAACACAACTCAAACTAATCTACACTATTTTTCTTTATTACGCAGCGTTTTTATAACTATTTCCAGATGTTTCTAAAGATGAAAACAGAATTAAACTCCAGCCTGATGCGTTTCTGAGGTTCCTGACTCTGACCGTCCCTCAAACGCCTCTCTGGGCGTTTCCTTCCGTCGCTTTTACTTTCGCTTTCGTGAATGTTGTGGCGCAGTTGATCGTCTCGAAGTTAAGGTAACGTTAGCAGTCTGTACTGTTTTCCTGGCTAACATCAGCTGTGTGCAGCTTAGTTTCAGCATAAATCTGCTTCGTTTTATGTGAGATCAGAGTCTGGGAACGAGACAGAAACAGTTGATGATCAGCAGCTGAACTCGATGTTACTGTGGATCCACTGACTGATGTCTGTAGGCAGCTTCTCCTGCCTCCATCAGTCTGTGGCTGTATGGGCTCAAATTGTGGTCATAAATATTTTGTACTTGTAAATCAGGATTTGTAGGTGGAAAAATAATTTGTGTGTGGACTTAGTCAAGCAATACGTGTGAAATGTGAGAAAAGTAGCTCGAAATGTCGAGTTAGTTCTGCCAATCAGTAATCCAGCTACAATGCGCACTCAAACCCGCATCGCAACAAATCGGCGCTTTCGAGAGTACGTTAGCTGATATTAACGCCATGTGATTCAGCTAATAACAGAAGGATTTCATCATTTCTGAAGCCACACAGACAATAATCAGCGACTTGTGCATTTATGACTGGCTGTAATTCTGGTATCTTAGCTGTAGCATTTGTAGCTGAGGCTTCAGCTTCCGGGTAACAAGGAAATTACGTCATTCACGTAAATTACTGATTGACAGTAGTGATGGGACGTTCTGTATCGAGGCTTCGGAGCGTGTGTCGAGTAATGGAGGGGGCGTTTCCGCGAAGCGCGTATCGAGGCTTGCTTCATTTATGGGAGGAGCTGAAAATGATGACGTCCGAAGCCTCGCTGCCCGGCTGTACCACGTGACTGGTTCATGAAGCGGTTCGAACTTTGCCGCAAATAATCATTTTCCATACTGCCAGCATAAATATACACAGTATACTGCCATCACTACAATATACATGTTTTACACATCCTTTTGTTGTTGACATTTACAGGCTGTGTGCAAAATGCCACACTCTTCAAATTCATGCCAGCTATTATTTTTACGTCCAGTAGGTGTCCTGCTAGAGCAAATGAAGCTTCATGAAGCTTCGCGTTGGGGTGAACCAATTGGATGAAAAGCTCCAGTGCTTCATGGGGCTTCATGCCCATCACTAATTGACAGCACTAACTCTTAATTTTGAGTTAGTTTTATCAAAATTCCAAGTTAATAAATCGAAATTTCGAGTTCTGGATCCTTCTTTTTTTTAGTGACGCAAACGGGCTTCCAGTGTGTGGATGTTGTTTAACTGGTGATGTTCATTCGTGTATTGTAGGTGAATGCGTTGATGATTGATCATAAATTAGTAAACTGGCCGTTTTTGCTCAATAATTCCTGTTTCATGTTCAAACCGTCAGACAGAAACTCTGCGTTTGTTTTTATGTTCTTCAGCCTGTTGTTCTTGAGGTCATCTGTGATGCGTTCAATGACCCTCCACATGCTCTGAGGCTCATTTGAAGAGAAACAGAACTTCATCTTTAGAGCATAAGTGGGTTTTTGCCCTCTTTATGCCCGCGGTCAGGCTCTGTTTATTGTAGTATAACACTCATAGGACACAGTGTCCCGCTGCACACACACTGCACAACACTGCACACACACTGCACACTCACGCACACAATGACAGCTGCAGAGTTTGGTCTCGATGTATATAAGTATGAAACACTGTTGGTTAAATCTGGTCAGAATGAATCCAGGTGCAGGTTTCAGTTTAGGACACTGGACTAACACCAAGTGCCACAATATAAAGTGTATTCTGTAGTAACATCCTGGTTTGCAGCAACAGTCCCACATGAAAACGTCAACATCAAACTCAAATCTCTTTTTGTCAACAATAAATGACAGCAGACCAATTTGAACAAAGTTGGTAAAAGCTTCAGAATTAGTAAAATATTAAAAAGTGCTGGATGCTCAATCATCCAGTAATCCCAAAGAGTTGATTCTGTTCATCTGGACGTTTTCAGCACATGATCATAGTGAGGACAGAGAGAGGGATCCCTCCTCTAAAAGCACTCTGTGTGGGGAACAGAGAGCCAGACCAAAGCTCAGAGGTGAGATGACCATCTCTAACTGTCCATGACTCTTCTCCATGTCACAGCTCAGGCACTCACATCACTGCTCCATCATTATTCACACTCATACCTCTGTGTGTGTTGTTTTAAAAGCCCAGAGCTGTGGGCGTACCAGGCTCAGCTGGACATAACCCTGAAACTAATCCAGAGCCTGGACCTGAACCCAGCTGTGTTTCCTTAAAGAGCAACAGGTCGAAGTATATTGGTGCAAACTTTAACAAAAGACTGTTATGTGACAAAGAGTAAGTACATTATTATTTTTATGAGATTGTTCATCATGTCTTTAATTTAATGTTTCCAGTTTTCCTTCCTGTCTCATGAAGCTGTGACATTTATTGTTTTTCTTTTAGGATCAATAAGAGGCCAGAATCTCCTGGACCTGAACCCAGCTGTATTTCCTTAAAGAGCAACGTGTCGAAGGGTATTGTTGTAAACTTTAAAGGATGTTCTTCTGCTGCTGAGAGGTAAT